ATTTATGCTTTCAGTAGATTCATCATCTGGTATGTATTGCCTTTCAAGCCGGCTGTGAGAGAGGAACTAAAGAACTCTCTTGGGTTAGGCTTTGTGTGCTCTGCTCTACAATCTTTTATATAGACAAAGACATTTATAGCAGGAGATAATATTTAATATCCGGCCTATCATATAAGCTAATATGCACCGTGTATATATACAGTGCATTTTCAGAGTGGGTGAGTGTAACGACTGGCTGCAAGGGTGCACTTGCATTAATTCGTTGGGTGGGTGTCATTTTTACTTATGAATTAATTTTTTGTGTCAGCATTATGCACGGTACAATTATCCATGTAATTTTGGATCTTCACCATTTTACTTGATTTGTTCAATGGCTTTACTAAATACTCCTAGAAAGATATGGGCTATCTGATCTTTTTTTTTAACGACTTGCACCGGACAGTGTGAAGTTCATATTTATAGAGCGGAAAAAAATTACAAAATTACAACTCTGGGAAGTCGTAACCAGGAAAACAAAGAGAAAATAACCACCAACCACACACTGACAACACCAACACATATATCCAGGAGAAACTAGCACCGAACCGACCACTGCTAAGCCAACAAAGAAAATTACAGCCGAGATCACCAAAACCCAATCCTTACACCCGACAACAAATTAAACTCCATTCTAGCCATATATTTGGGATTGAGGGAGAGACACTAACAGATCTAGCGGAGTAATCAAGTGAATTCATTGATCAAGTGGAGTACATCGTCTGATCTTCACAATTAAATCACCAAATTATTAATGTCTTTAGCAAGCATAGTGCATAACTGCATATCTTCACTGCTAGATCAATATACTAATATCAAACATGCAGAAGTTTATTTTTTTTAAAAAAAGACATGCATGAAAATTTGATCAGTTAATTTTTGCCATGTTTGATGTGGCTCAGATCCACTTACTTCGTGCCACACCCATTATCTCCATCAGTCATCCCCAAATCCAACCAGAGCTCGAGCTCGCCACGGATGACCCACCACCACCACCCATGCACGCATGGATGACGACAAGCTCGCCCTCGCCGTGGCGCACGTCGCGTTCCCGGACGTAGAGCCTCATGCCCGCCCAATCTATCCGTTAATAAAAACTAACAACATATATCGGTAATCCAATAAAAAAACACCTTATTTTTAATTTATACTTAATTTGGTAGACATGTTTCATAAACAAAATAAGTCTTAACATATTTGTAGAGGACGAAGGAGATTATAAATAATTGCTTATGAGAACTAACAAGGGCGTTCCTACGTTATACTACCCGGGGTCACAGAATCCCAGGTAGATTATTCAAATCGTATCTAAATTACACTATATTAATTAATATATTAGTCAATAATTAGATAAATAGTATGTATTGGACCTTGGTAATTTTTTTCTTGGTTCGCCACTGCGGACTAATCAAATAAGCAATTTTAATAAAAAAAAATATGGAGAAATTGTACTTTCCAAGTGTGCAAATATTCTTTCGTTTATATTCCACTCTTATTAGCGTCTCAAACATAACCTACGATACATGCATGCCAGCGTGACTGCGCGGGCTATCTTCCTAGTTCCATAGAAATTTCATATAATTTTATAGGATTCATTTATTTGATTCAAAAGCCTATATAGAAAAAATCCTTCAAAATTTCTATGATTTTTGTTTGAATCAAATGGGGCCTGAATTTTTTGGTGTGCCTAGATTGCTAATAATTAAAACCACCTCTTCAAGGATTAATAGACGAGAAGATGTTCTGCCTAGGAGCGTCGATGACACAAACTGTCCACTAATGTCGGGCTATCATGCATCCTTCAAATTTATCATGTCCTTGGATTTCATAGCCATCCAACTAACCCTACATCATCTGAAGCACGAATCGGCAGTGTCTAGCTACACCAAAACAACACCTTAGCTCAAGATTGATCTTGTAGTGGACTCTACACATTCCTGATGCCTCATAAGCCGATACTTGGTATTGTATTGTAAAAGTAGTAGCAGAAAAAAAAACCTTTTTCTATCAATTTTAAGCTTCACTGTGAGTGCATGACAAACCAACAAATCTCTTCTGCTGACTGCTGGCGTTGGGTTGCGTACTCTATTGACCTCTTAATATATTTATAGGCACACATCTTTATTCGGAGAAAAAAAATTGTAGGACACGTATGGACAAGAGTAAAAATGCAAAAAATAAAATAAAACATAAAACTATATATATGTACACGTAGACGACATTGGGGACTAGGGGTAGTAGGCATCATTTTTCAATGTAACTTATTCTCTGCAGAGCTTCATTCACTGCAGAACAATCCATATAATTACCGATCGATCATTTTTCAACTTGTTTTGCCGAATGGTACACACATAAAGTTCGTATTAGGGTCCTCTACTATATCGAATTTCAAAGATTAGCCACCTGGTAAATGATACTCTGCTGCACACGACTACTATGAAAATATCACATGCATGCTTTTAATTAAACGTTACAAACATCAGTATCATTCGTACGTTCCCAAGTAAGTAGATAATTCAAATGTGTGTATGTACAATTGTAACTAATGTATAACTGTCAGAAAAAAAATGTTCAACACTCAGCTGGAAAACAAAATGAACGCGTTACCTGCGCGGCGGCTCCAATCAACAGCTCAACATACATAGGGCCGAGAAGAAGGTGACAGCATGGATCCTATACGCATCCCTCTCCTACTGCAATTGCTATTAGTTATTCAATTACCTGTCCCACAAAATGAAGCTCAATTCACTCCATGTTGAGTTCAAGTTCAATTCACTTCCGATATAATTTTAAAATTTTGAAAACTTTGCAGATTTTGGTGAGACTACATTCTTCCCGCGTTGCCAATAGGTTGAACCCTGATGATGAGTATGGCCATACGGATGTGTGATGTAGCGTTATTAGAGCACTGCAGTTCCTCCATCACATTACAAGCTTTAGGGTTGTTGTGACTGGAGAAGTCGAGGATCTCTTAGTACTCCCGATACCTCATAAACCTATTTGGGTATCCCATAAAGTTGTTGAATAAGAACTCATTTGTCTTCTAAATTCTAGATGAAAATATTGAATAAGAACTCATTTGTCTTCTAAATTCTAGATGAAAATATTGCTTAAATTGAAGCTTAGTGGATTTATGCTTTCAGTAGATTCATCACATCTGGTATGTATTTCCTTTCAAGCCAGCTGTGAGCGAGAAACTAAAGAACTCCCTCGGGTTGGGCTTGTGTGGTCTGCTATACAATCTTTTTTATAGACAAAGACCTTTATAGCAGGAGATAATATTTAATGTCCTATTATATAGGCTAATATGCATCGTGCATATATACAGTGCATTTCAGAGTGAGTGAGTGTAACGATTGGCTGCAAGGGTGCACTTACATTAATTTGTTGGGTAGATGCCATTTTTACATATGATTTTTTTTTTGTCTCAGCTTCATGCACGGTGGAATGTCCATGTTATTTTGGATCTTCACTGTTGCACGTTGGACTTGTTAAATGGCTTTACTAAATAGAAAAATATGGCCTACCTGATCTTTGTGCACAAGTTAGTGCAATATCATGCAATCCCATTGACAGTGAATTCATTACTCAAATACTCATTCCGTTTCATATTATAAGTCGTTTGATTATTTTCCTAGTCAAACTTCTTCAGGTTTAACCAAGTTTATAAAAAATATAATAGTATTTTGAACACAAAATAAAAAACATTATCAAAACATAGTCAATGCACTACTAAAGGAATCATTTTCCTAGACGCCGGCCCCGTTTGATTCCAGGCTAGCCGTAAGTGGCGCCGCCTGGAAAAACCGGGCGACCGGCGCCGGGAAAATGCATTTCTTAATCCGACCACACATGATAATCCCATTATCCCACGCGGCTGCTTAAGAGGACCGCACGAAAAAAATCAATTTTTGCGAGCGGGCATATTAAGTGGACCGCACACGAAAATACCTTTCCCTCCCACTCACTTCAAAATTTTCACACCTATTCTCCCTTACTTTTCTTTTTTTTATTTTCACTCCTCTCTCTCTCTCTTTCCACCTCTTTCTCTTCTCCTCCCCTCTCCTCTTTCCGGGGGATGCGGCCGGCTCGGCGGCGCCACCGACGAGGCGGCGGCCAAGAACGGGTGGGAGGCGACGTGGCGTGGACTAGGCGGGCACGGCGTCGAGCGGCTCAACGGACGGCGGCAGTGAGGGCACGGCAGGGAGGGATGACGGCAATACCCAGATCCGGCGCGGTGGCGGCCGGCGCGACGGTGGCGGGGGCAGGCAGATCCGACGGCTGTGGCCGTGAGCGGTTGGCTCGAGATCGGCAGTGGTGGCGGGTCGCGACGGCGAGGGGCGACGGCAACCGTCCCCGCCCGGATTCTAGGGTTAGGGTGGTGGCGGCGGCGACGCGACGACAGCGATGATGATGAGTTGCAACGGGCTTGGTAGCAGTGGCGCGACGACGGCGATGACGACGGGAGCGGCAGCGGGCGATTCTAGGGTTATGGTTAGGGTTTTTTTTATTTTTCGATTTTTTTTGTGTTTTTTTTTGCGTGCGGGCGGTATTACTTGACCGCACGGGATAATCGATTATCCCGTGCGGTTAGGCCACCCGCACGCGAAAATATTGATTTTCGTAGACCCCTGGATGTAGACGGGCGCTACCTCCGCACAAAAAAAATTGATTTTGTACTAGTGCTGCTAGATTTAATGAAACCAATTTGATATTTATATATTGCTAAATTTTTTTATAATTTTTGTCAAACTTAACAAAGTTTGATTAGGCAAAAAGTCAAACGAATTATAATATGAAACAGATGGAGTATGTATTATCTTATCTTCACAATTAAATCACTAAATTATTAATGTCTTTAACAAGCATAGTGCATAACTGCATATCTTCACAGCTTGATTAGTACAGTATAATATCAAACATGCAGAAGTTAAACTAAAAATAAAGACATGCATGAATTGATTAGAAAAAAATAATAATTCGATCAGCTAATTTTTGCCATGTTTGATGTGGCTCAGATCCACTTACTTCGCGCCACACCCTTCGTCTCCATCACTCATCCCCAAATCCAACCAGACCTCGCCACATCACCCATGCACGCATGGATGACGACAAGCTCGCCCTCGCCGTGGCGCACGTCGCGTTCCCGGACGGCGACCTGTTCACGTTCCCGGACTTGGAGCCCCACGGCGCCGGCGCCGGCGGCGAGGGCGGCACCGCCGGCTACCTCGCCGCGTGCGGCGACCGCCTCCTCCTCGCCGACGACGAGTACGGCGTGCTCCGCCTCACCAGCCCGCTGACGGGGGACACGGTGGTGCTCCCCGGCTTGGTGATCGGCGGCGGCGTCAGCGTCCGCGACGTGCCGGTGGTGCTCGCCGACGAGGCGGCGCCGTCCGGCACGGCGCCGCGGCGGTGGAGGGACAGCGAGGAGATGTCCGTGCTGAAGCTGGTCGTGTGCCCCGTCGGCGGCGGCGGCGGCGGCCTCGTCGTCGCCGCCATCGTCGGCCGCGAGCACTTCGCCAAGGTGGCGCTCTGCACGCCTGAGGGGTTCGTGTGGTCGATCAGCGCGCGCGACCGGTGGCGGTGGTACGACGACATGGCGTTCCACGGCGGGCGCCTCTACGCTCTCACCCAGGCCGAGGACCTCCTCGCCTTCGACGTCGTCGACGCCGGCGACGGCGAGCCCGTGGTCACCGGCGTCGAGCGCGTCGTCCGCAGCAGCGTGGACGCGTTGGACGTCGAGGACACCCGGATGCACTACCTCGTGACGTCGCTCGACGGCGCGCTGCTGATGGTGCGCCGCGAGATGGCGGACGCTGGGAGCACGGACGGGTTCGAGGTGTTCGAGGCCGACCTGGCGGCGTCGCGGTGGGTGGAGGTGGGCGGGCTGGGCGCCGGCGGCGAGGCGCTGTTCGTCGGCAGGCTGTGCTCCAGGGCGGTGCGCGCGCCGGACGACGGCGACCAGATCTTCTTCCTCGACGACACCGACGGCCTGTCATTCCGGTGGGAGCTCCAGCCGCGGCCGCCGTACCAGGTCGCCGCGTACGACATGGTCCGGCGAACGTTCAGCATGCTCATGTGGAAGAAGCCATTGGAGGACGGCAACACGCCGGTGACATGGCTCTTCCCCGACGACGACGATGACGACGATAGAGTGACCAAGTGATCAAGCCATTAGGATTGGCAGATCGATCAAAACCATACAATTATGGCGAAATAAATCCATATTAATTTCATGAATCATCATCATCATCCAGGGCTCTGCTGCACAACATGGAATGGAAGTGGGTTAAATGCTCCTGATGCCTCACAAACCTAGCTAACCTATATGTTTTATACTTCTAATTAACGTGAAAAAAATAGAAAAAAAACAACAACCCGTTTAAATCAAATGCTAGATGTGCAATTTTTTGCGAGTGAGGGATGCGCGCGCGCGCGCACATATATATATATATATATATATAATATTGTATTATACATTCTCTTGTTTTATAGATGAACCCTTTTCAATGGGAAATTGTATCTTTTTCACTAGAACCAACCACCAAAGAAGTCCATTTCTATGGTTAACAAACATAACTCCGGTGCCCCACTTACATTACAATATATATTTCTTGCACGCATGATCGAGCACTATATATATATTTATATATAGTAGACACAAAGGGTCCTACACTATAATGTGCACTCAAGCAGATATCAATAGTGCTTCAGAAAGTTCTCCATGCGGTGAAATTAAGACATATACAACAGTGTGTTTGTACTACATTCTACTCGTGTCAAAAACATGGAGATGTTGTTTTGGGAACTAATATGCATGGCCACCAATTTAAAGTATAACCCCGATCAACAATTAGTTTCTATTACAATATATATGTATATATACAACCTAAAGGAGTTATTATATTATAAAAGTATTATTCAACACGGCACTATCACAGAACAGCTTATCAGTGCCGGTTCAAGATAACTCGATACTGATGATGGTTTTCCGTCCCAAAATACAAGCTTGCGCCATGCATATGTTCTCTTGGCACTGATGGGGAGATATCAGTACCGGGTCTTACAACCATTCGGCACTAATTGTTTGGCAACATATCAATGCGGAGTGTTGCTATTAATCGGCACTGATGAGTAACGCATCAGTGTCGGGTCTTGCCAGTTGGAGCGTGATAACTAATTTTGGTAGGAAAAACATCAGTGCCGGGTTTTTAAGAGTACTCGGCACTAATGCCACTCACATCAGTGTCAGGTATTCTTATGATCCAGCATTGATGATCTCAACCATATTATTTTTGTTTATTTAGGATATATGAACTTAACCTTTTCATACGTACTCGGATTGCAACAAAACATATATGGGAATTGTAGCTCTCAACGAGATCTATGATTTTGTAGTTGACAAATTTTTCATTTGAATTCTTTTAAATATTCAAATCCATAATTTAAATCTCGGTAAGGATGGCTCAAAAGGAAAAAAAAATATTCATTTGCTAACAAGATTGATGTGTAGGTGAGTTGGTAAAGATAGGTGCATGAGAGGAGAGGTTTTTAGGTTCGAATCTACACCATGACAAGAATTATATTTGAGTTGAAGAAATAGTGGTTGCACCTTCATATATACATAGCTATACGCTTCTTGACGTCAATTCTTGTTTGTAGGATTATTTACACTTGCATCCTATTTGTGGGTGTGTCCAATGTCTCACTTCACAGTCCATCTCTCAGTCGTGCCGAACAATGTCTCACTGCACACAGTCCATCTCAGTCGTGCCGAACACATATAATGTACTCAATCATGCTAAAGTGAAATTGTTGCAACATAATGTTTGCACAAGACTTCAACAGAGAGATGAACGTTGCTAAGCACTCCTGTCGTCTCACATTCCTATAGGAGAAATGTGCATGATATGGAGAAATTCTTTTCTCTGAGGAAATCCTTGTCTCTTTTCTTTGCGGGGTGTATGGATGACTCATTTGATATACTTTCAGCTAGAAATCTTATGTTGTTGAGTTTTGAATTTTGCTGCGCCCTCTTACGCCAAAGAAAAGATCGATTCTTTTTTTTTGTTGCATTGTTGTTCTTGTGTTTGTGAATTTGGAGTAGTCGCTACACACCATATATATTGCAAGATTGCCAAACATTTTGATTTCAAGGGCCTACATTTAATAGATTGAGATTATAAAATGTTCCATGCGACTCCCATGATATCCTGGACAAATACTCATTGTTAATATATCTAATTGCTTCGTATACCAAATAGAGGAATTTTTATGGTCCAGCAGGCAGTTTCAGTACCAAATCTCGTCCATTGGATTGAAGGGATCTAACGGTGTTTGGCATGGAAGGGCATCACTGTAATTTAGCATTAGACAAGCGATTGAATCGGCTTGAGTATCATGAAAGAAACCCTACGTCGTTTTCTCTCGATCTGAAATCATGTCAGCGCTGCTCCTGGGAGGGAGGTTGATTTGCTCTTGGTTTGTACTTCCACGGTGGCGCTTCCTTCGTCGCTACAATCGTTATCGTTGATTTCATCGCCACCGCGTTCATCACTGGAGCGGTCTTGCTGTTGTTGCTGTTGCACTCCTCGCTAAAGCGCTCATCGACACCGCAATGCTCGCTGCCAGCAACAAACAAAGTTGGGGGAAGTTTCGATATAACTTATCTGTGGGGCACGAAGGATGGTGAGAAGATGAAATCCCCGAAGGTATTCAATTGGGCAGAGATCAGGAAGGAGTAGATGAAGACAAATGTGTCATTGGATTGGATTCATGAGGTATGATATATTCTTTCATTCAATGAGAGGACGAATATGGAGAGACGACCGCGCGTGGCGCTAGCTGGGAGAGAGGATGAGTAGGGAGAAAAACACTACGACACCACACAAGGATAAGACGACACAAGTGCGTTCCGAAAGCATGCCCATCCTACCTAGCTTGATCGGACGGTCAGATTTGATTTGTTACAACGAGATATAGGTACCTCAAGATACCACTTGTTGGATCAAAACAAATTTCTTTAGGGAAAGATTGTCCCCAGATTCATTTATTTGGACAGAAGAGTAAGTTTAGTATTATTAAATAATTTGCAACTATATAGCTTAACTACGAAGCTAACGGCCCGGCGAGAAATAACTAGGAAGCTAACAAGTTGGACAATACAGTTGATCAAACGTGAAACCAGAAAATTTTTACTTGTACAAACATGCGATGATTAATCTTGGTGATGAACAATTGTCAAAGGTAAGTATTTATTGAAAATGCAGTGAACAGTGTTTTCTGACTGTCGGTGAACAGTGTGTTGGCACTGGGAGCCTGTCAAACTAAGCAATGCGCACCAATTAGATCGGAGGTGTCCAGGTAGCCCGACGGTCAAACCGGCAGACTCTGGGAGGGAGTCAGTTTTGGGTTGTTTTCGTGAAATTTCTAGATTGTTTCATATTTATGACTACTAAATCATTTCTATACATATGTGATATTGTTTGTGTGCTGATATGAGTCAAGTTGGTGCTAACTTGTACTCGGACATAGAGTTTCATTGTTGTTCATGTGCATGTGTTGCTTGAGGCCGTGGGAGTATAGCTGGTGATGGATTGGGACTAGGCTTGTGAAAAGTTAAGGTCTAGACAATCAATGACATGATGCGGGATGCTCAGGCTAGACAACATGCACGTGGAGGTGAAAGTTTTCATATGACATATACCTGGTGTTGTGTGCGTTTAGAAAGAGTCAAAATTTGGATTGCAGTACAAGTTTGGAAACATTAGAGTGCGGAGTTGTATGGGGATGCTCTTTCCCTGGTTTGATAGGTTTCCTATATATGTGATCAATATTCCTAGTTGTAGTTGGATTCGTAACTAGGGGCAACCACGTTGTGGGCACAAATAGAAGAGGGGTTGATTCTAAAAGATTTCGACTTTCTAGGAGATGAGTGTTAGGGTTTGCTTCAAGATTTCAATCCTAGTTCGTGAGGAGAGATGAGTCCATTAGATGTATTTTGTAAACACATATTGATGCAATAAAGTTTTGTCGATACATGTTTTTCTGGGTTCCGACACGGTCAGACTGTTAGGATTATGCCGGTCTAACCGGCGGCGAGCAACCGGTCAGACCGGCTGTGGCGAGAAGGCAGTAGGCAAGGAGGTGGCAATTTGACCGGCTAGACTACATTGGTCAGACTGGCGGCAAAGTGCGGTCATACCGTTGTACGTATGGCGGTCAGACCGGCTACGCCAAGGATTTCATCAGGTTAGAGGGTAATTTTTTTAATTCTATGGAAAGATCTAATACGAATGTTATACAAGGGTAATGATTATATAAATAGAAAGTATAGAAATTTTTTGTTGAACTAATATACACATTTTAGGAGGAAATATTATACGTAGAAAATTTAACATTTTTTATAAAAAACACTACTAGAAAAATAATTTATTGCCACGAAAAAAATTGTAGCATCAATGCTAAAATTGTTGCAATAGATACATGTTGCCACAATCTTAAAATCGTTGCTAGCCGTGGTAATAAATAGCGTGGTAATAGGTTATTGCAACGATTTTTATTTAGTTGCAATAAATTTTGTTATTGCCATAAAATGTATGTGGCAAAAAATATATATTGCAACACTTCATATCGTTGCAATAAATAACTATTGCCACCACTCTATGTGTGGCATTAGTTCTACGTACCAAATTAAATATTTCAATATTAATTTATCATCCTAACTATTTTCTTTTGATATCTTGTCATGGCTAGGATTCGAACCCAAGATCTCTCCTTCACGCGCGCTCTCCATGACCAACTCACCTACGCATCAATTTTGTTTAAAAATACATATAATTCCATTTGAGACTGCTTAACTGAGATTTGAATCATGAATTTGAGTATTTAAAAGATTTCAAATGAAAAATTTAAATTGTAGATCTCATCGAGAGGTATAAATTTCATATAAAATTTGTCCTAATCCGTGTCCATATGAAAAGAATAAGCTAAATTATGAGATGATAAATTTTTTATTGCAACGTATTTGTTGATCATGGCAATAGAAAATAGTGAAAGTACCATGTATTGTGCAAATTGCCACAAAAATTAAATTTGTGGCGATAGAACATGTTTTTTTGCAATAGCAATATTTTTATGGCGATAGCTCATTTCCTATTGCAACAAAAATACTGAATAAAACAACGATTGTAAATCATTGCAACAAAGTATAGTTATTTGCCACAGAAAAATTATCATTGCGATAGTACAATATATTGCCCCAAATTATTTTCGTTGCAATTAATTGGTGGCAATAGCTCAATTATCTTGTAGTGAAAATGAATGTATATCATTTTTAAGGATGGTAAATATAATCATTACTCTTGTATAACATTCGTATTAGATGATATGTAAACACAACAAATATGCTATAGGTAGCATAAATAAAATCAAACATATACTCTTTTCAATAAATAAAATATTTTAAAATTTTGATGATATAAAAATAATCTTGTCGTGGAAAAACCTAATGCAACGCACTCATGAATATAATAGTTTTATACAAGTGTCTACACTTCCAATAATATGCTGCAAATATTTCTATATTCCTTCCACGCCTAAGAGAAAAATTGACCATATCTTAGCTATTAAACGGTCAACTAACAACATGGCTATAAATGTGATCAAAATAAAAATTCAAGGGCATACAAGGGAGTGAATAAAACTTACGGGTATATAAGGGATCAGCTAAAGTTCTAGGGACATGTAAGTAATTTTCTCTTAAATATTTTGTTCACATAGTTAGGGAATATGGCCAGAAACAAGCAACAATTAATTAGGTCCTCAGTGCTAATTGGTTTTTAGAATTAACTTGCAAGCACCTCAAAAAACACAACTGCAATTAATCTTTTGAATTGTGTGTGTTGATCCCTATGTAGCTAAACATGAAATCACATAAATAACCTATGAAACTTAGAGTGGAGACGATACTAAATGGCAACTTCAGTGGAATTAGGAATGAAAAGTAGCAAATGTAATATATAATTAAAAAAACATAATGGGCTATTAATAACTTCTCTAGTAATAGAAAATTTTGGCCTACTTCTTCAACTGTCCAATGCTGAAAATGTTTCTTTGATTTTGGTGATTTCAGCATAAACATCTTGGATTAATGGACGATCTCCAGGTGACTCCAGAGAGCATTGTAGACCAATTTTCAGCATCTGTGTGATACATCTCTCCATTATGCTCATTTCATCAACGTCATTATCTAAATCATGGTTCCTTCCTTCATGTGTATACCGTGGAATGATACTGGCCTCTAAAATCTCAACAACATTATGTGGATATGCACAGTCCACTAATTTGTGAATGTTTAGCCCATCCTTGAACATGTCATCAGTTGGATGCTTTCCTGTGAGCATTTCTAGCAGAATAACTCCATAGCTATAGACATCGCCTGCAGTTGATATTTGGCAACCCATCCCATATTCTGCATTCAATATTAACAGAATTGTTTTAAAAATATTCTAATTTGCTAAGCTGGCTTCAAGAGACAGTATATGAAGTAAGTATTCAGTCCTTAAAATAACAAGGTTAGTAGCGAAAGCAAGAATTCACATGTGAAGAAAACAAGCTTAAATTTCTTGGATGATAGTCGTATATGTATTTCTGAATAAGATACGCCTAAATTAGTCAATATGAAGAATATATAGAAGCATGAATGTTCACCTGGTGCAATATATCCAACTGACCCTCTTGGTCCTGCTATGCTTGATAAACTGTTAAGCCCTGCTGAAGAATGGTTACAGATAAAGTCACTAACATGAGCAACCATGTCCTCATCCAAAAGTACATTACTTGGCTTCAAATCACAGTGAACAAGCGGAGGTGTGCACCAGTTATGGAGATAATCCAAGGCAGCAGCAATGTCCGTTGCTATCTGTATAATTGATCCTAGACCTAATGGTCTTCTTTGTCGATGTTTTTGTACTTTTGGATGAAGCCAACTTTCTAGGTTACCATTAGCCATGTACTCCAAAATTAGAGCTTTAAACTCTTTTCCCATTGGATCGAAGGAGGAACATAGACTAATCACATGCATGAGATTTCGGTGCCGAGTGTTCCTTAGCACCTCGCATTCAGCCAAGAAGTTATTTGATGCTCCGATTTCGTCAAGTTTGAATACCTTAATGGCAACTGGCTCTGCATCAATTTTGAATCTACCTATGTAGACCACCCCAAATGCCCCGGAACCAACCAAGTTGTCTGATGAAAATTCATTGGTAGCTTTGGCAATCTCAGCATATGTGAACTTCCACTCCTTACAAGACTGATCAATTTGCTTTCCCAGGTTATTTCGCTTCTTGTAAAGAAATGTGGCAACACATATCATTAGGAATGTAGCAGCACTAGCAAGTGGGACAACTATTGGGATGATATAGGATTTCTTGTTTGTTTTGGATGATGTTGATGTGCAAAGTGGTAATTGCAGCATTGAAGACCCTGTGCATAATTCCCTATTCCCTTGTACGAACACCTTACTTGAATTGCTAAATACACCATATGTAGGAACCATTCCCTCGAGATTGTTGAAGGATAAGTTGAGGAGCTGCAAAGAGCTGAATGTCTCAAAAAATTTTGGGATTTCACCAGACAAGTTATTCTGTGAGAGATCCATCTCATTGATGCCTCTTAAACTCGTGAAGGAGTCCGGGATACTCCCATTTAGAAAATTCACTTCTAATTGTAGGGACTCCAAGTGAAGGCACTCACCAAGTGTATGCGGAATCTCTCCAGATAATTGGTTGTTGGAAATGTTAATAGAGTCAAGGTTAATTAAACTACCAATCTTAGATGGGATGGGTCCACTAAATCCATTGTAAGACAAATCTAGGCCTTTTGAAAGTGAGGAGATCGACAAGAGCTCGGGTGGAATGATTCCATTGAAGGTATTACATGAGAGGTTCAGCATTACCAAATTTTTGCACCTTCCTATGCTTGAAGGTATGGCCCCACTAAAGTTGTTCTCTTGGAGATAAAGCTCACCTAATTTTTCAAGTTTTCCAATTGATTGTGGGATTTCCCCAGAAAGATTATTGCGATGTAACCCTAGGACAAACAAGTTTACAAGGTTACAAAGTGTTTCAGGAATGTCCCCTGAGATTAAGTTTTCTGCTAGATGAAGAACAGTGAGGTTATTGAGGTTTCCTATCTCTGAAGGTATGGTCCCTGCAATTCTGTTGTTGGTCATATATAACGTTTGCAAGCTTCCTGGGAGATTGCCAATGGAACTAGGTAAGATTCCATGAATCCTGTTGTTATCCAAATATATTGCCACCAGTTTGGTAGAGTTTATTTTTGAGGACAAGGATGTCCAGTCTACAGATTCAAATAGGTTGGCACCAAGGTCCAACTGGGTCAAGTTTTGCAAAGCCCAGAAAGAAGGAACAACACCAGTGAATGTGTTATCACGGACCTCTAGCACTTGAAGGTTCAAGGCATTAACTAAAGAGGTTGGCAGTGTGTCGGTGACATGGGACCGGGAGTATCACTACTAAAGGCTTGGACAGGAGCAATCACCCACGAGGCCTGACCCCCTTGGGGGGGTCGGGCCCGAGGGTGACGTGGCCGCCCCCCCTCTTTGTCTCCCCGAGGGGTCAGACCGCTTCCGTTTCAGCCCTGAGGGCTGAGGCGCCCCGACCCCTTGCAGGTTTGGCGCCGCATGAGTGGGTTAGGTGAGCGCAGCGGGGCTCACCTAACCGCATTTATTGCGATTAGGACAAGCGCGTCACGCCGCATGTAACGCAGTGCAGCGCGCTCGTTTATCCGGTCTGTGATCAGTCGCAGACCAGATCGTGGGTTAGGTGGCGACAGGCGGTCTGACACACGCCTCGCCCCGTCCTGTCAGGATGAGCGCATCCAAGCACTCGTCCCTAGCCGGAGCCGGCGTGTTACCTCCTGGAGATGGCACGTTGGTCCCGGTCAGACATATGCTAGGCTTCATCCCAACCATTACAAGCAAGGTGTTGTATGAAGAAGGGCAAACATGCAGATTGCTAAACTGACGCGTGGTGGACAAGAATGACCGACATGACCGGACTGATACTGGTCATGTCATCAGCAGACAGCCATGATCCCACGACGCGCCTACTTCCGACGAAAGTGGAGGTAGGTATGGGCCGTCCCATCAGAAGATGATTCGGTGGGCAACCATGCAAATCTCCGTCGATTCATGAAGAGAAGGGAAGTCAAATTGGTAAAAAGAGAGGCAAGTCCCCACACAAAAAAGAGAGGTGGTGCATGTGGTATCCTTGAGATATAAAAGGAGGACCTTGCCCACTGATGAGGGGGATTCGGATGGGGAGAGCTAGATTGAGAAAAAGGGGAGAGCTAGATTGAGAAAAAGGGGAGAGAATATTTAGAGTTTGAGCTCTCTCGCTCTCGAGCTCTTTGTAAGCTTCTTCATACACAGATCCACCAAAAACACAGGAGTAGGGTATTACGCTTCTCAGCGGCCCGAACCTGTATACATCGCCCGTGTCTTGAGTGTTTCCACTCTCGCGAACCTTCCACAGACCAAGAGCTTAGAACTTCACCCAGGGCCCCCGGCCGAACCGGCAAAGGGGGGCCTGCGCGGTCTCCCGGTGAGGAGCCCCACGCTCCGTCATCTGGCGCGTCAGATAGGGGGCTTTGCGTGTGTTTTTCTAAGCTCTCGTATTCTTTCGTGGGCGCCAAGCTTTTCCTGTTCAGCCCAATGGCCGAGCAAGCAAACGCGCCCAACCTTTCTCCGAGCATCAGCGGAGACGACGGGGAGCCAAACCCACGCCGTCGAGCTCGTACTCCACCGCCCCCTCCACGCCAAAGTCCTAGGCGGGAGGAGGCGCTCAAGAGGGTCGAAGGATCCGCGACTTCGACATCCACGGGTGATGGAGAAGGGCGGCGAGATGGGGAGCGTCGCATCCTCGTCTACGGTGACGGCAGCACGCCCCAGGGCACGCTCCAAGCTGCGGGCGCGCTCCTACGTCACCCGCCCGTCGTCCCTGACCCGGAGTCTCCAGCCCAACGTTGGCTGGACGACGTTGCCAAATTGGTCATGACGGCGCGGCAGCGCCTAGATGCTGGTGGACGGACCTCCGCCACAAAGACCTCTGGTACTGCTGCCACCGGCTCCGCGTCGTCAAGACGAAGGGCGCGGCGAGCGGCGGCCGCTGTTCGCCATTCGGCCGCCACTCCTTCGTCAACGCCTCCGACCCGGGAAGATCCGCGTGGGGGGCCGGACGTCCGCACCAGCATCGAGCGCCGGCGTAATGGCCGACGTGCTGCCCACGCAACGGAGGGCGCCTCCTCGTCCAGAGTGTCACCTCAACACGGACGCGGGGATCAGCCCTCCGTGCCCCTGGTTGGTGGTGTCGGCTGTAGAGCCTTTGTGGCGAGTCTTCGGAATGTCCGTTGGCCCCCAAGGTTCCGGCCCACCATCGCCGAAAAATATGACGGGAGCGTCAACCCCGCCGAGTTTCTCCAGGTCTACACGACCGGGATCGAGGCCGCTGGGGGTGACGACAGGGTCATGGCGAATTTCCTTCCCATGGCCCTGAAGGGGCAGGCGCGGGGTTGGCTAATGAACTTGCCACCCGCATCTGTCCACTCTTGGGAGGATTTGTGCCAACAGTTCACTATGAACTTTCAAGGCACATATCCGCGCCCAGGTGAGGAAGCGGACTTGCACGCAGTACAGCGAAGGGATGATGAGTCACTTCGCTCGTACATTCAGCGGTTCTGTCAAGTCCGCAACACCATACCATGCATCCCTGCACACGCGGTGATCTACGCGTTCAGGGGGGGTGTGCGGCACAACCGCATGCTCGAAAAAATCGCCTCCAAAGAGCCCCAGACTACCGCGGAGCTTTTTCAGCTCGCGGACCGAGTGGCTCGTAAGGAGGAGGCATGGACCCGGAACCCCTCCGGTTCCGGTGTGGCAGCTTCGGCCGCCCCCGGATCCGCTGCTCAGACAGGGCGACGTGACAGGAGGAGGAAGAAGAGGTCAGCCCATTCCGACAACGAGGGTCATGTCCTCGCCGTCGAGGGCGCTTCGCGGGCCACCCGAAAGGGGAGGCCTGCGAGCGACAAAAAGAAGAAGGCCAGCGCTCCTAGCAGGGAGCGCCCAACCGGCAAGTGGTGCACCGTCCACAACACCTCCCTTCACGACCTCGCGGACTGCCGCGCAGTCAAAAGTTTGGCTGAGCGGACGAGGAAGTGGGAGGAGGAGAGGAGGCAGGAGCGCCGTGAGGGCAAGTCCCCGGCGGTTCCTTCCGGCAATCGGCGAAGTGAGGCCAAGCAGAAGGCCCCCGCCGAGGACATCGATGATGGCGATGATGACCTAGGTTTCCAAGAGCCTGGGGCCACTATTGCCACTGTCGATGGGGGAGCGTGTGCTCACGTTTCTCGCCGGAGCCTCAAGGCCATGAAGCGAGAGCTTCTGGCCGCGACCCCTACTCATGAGGCGACGCGCCGGGCGCGATGGTCGGAGGTTGCCCTCACCTTCGACCAGACCGACCACCCCCTGTGCGTTGCCCGGGGAGGACAGATCGCAATGGTGGTTTCCCCCACTATTTGCAACGTGAAGCTAAGGCGTGTCCTCATTGATGGGGGAGCAGCCCTCAACATCCTTTCCCCCGCAGCCTTTGATGCTATCAAGGCCCCGGGGATGGTGCTCCGGCCGTCCCAGCCGATTATCGGTGTGACGCCGGGTCACACTTGGCCGTTAGGTCATATTGACCTCCCAGTCACCTTCGGTGGATCCGCCAATTTCCGCACGGAGCTGGTGAGCTTTGATGTGGCGGACCTCAGTCTGCCCTACAACGCGGTCCTAGGGAGGCCCGCGTTGGTGAAGTTCATGGCGGCGGTCCACTATGCCTACCTCCAGATGAAGATGCCGGGCCATGGCGACCTCAAAGTCGCGCTCGCTTGTATGGAGCAGCGCGCGGACCACCTCGCCGCTGCGTCCAAGCCCGAGGGTGGCGACGAAAGGCTTAGCACCTCTGTCCCCGCCGCCCCGAGGCAGCGGATGATCACATGCGACGAGGTCCCGGTCAAGGAGGTTGCCCTGGGCGACGGCCCGTCCAAGACCACACGGGTCGGTGGTCTTCTGGATAGCAAATAGGAAGACGCGCTCGTCTCCTTCCTGCGGGCAAACGCTGACGTCTTCGCATGGAGACCGGCGGACATGCCCGGGGTCCCCAGGGAGGTGATTGAGCACCGTCTCGCCGTGCGGCCGGGCGCAAGGCCAGTCCGGCAGAAAGTGCGGCGGCAGGCCCCGGAACGTCAAGCCTTCATCCGCGAGGAGGTGGCGCGACTTCTGGAGGCCGGATTCATCCGCGAGGTCATCCATCCGGAGTGGATGGCGAACCCGGTCGTCGTTCCCAAGGCGAACGGCAAGCTTCGGATGTGCATCGACTACACCGACCTTAACAAGGCATGTCCTAAGGACCCTTACCCCCTGCCTCGCATAGATCAGATTGTCGACTCCACTGCGGAGTGCGACCTTTTGTGTTTTTTAGATGCATACTCTGGTTACCATCAGATTCGCATGGCTAGGGAGGATGAGGAAAAAACTGCGTTCATTACCCCCATAGGAACTTATTGTTATACGACAATGCCCTTCGGGTTAAATAATGCAGGTCCTACTTTTCAGCGTACTACTCGAATTTCTTTGGGTAACCAAATAGGACGTAATGTTGAGGCTTATGTCGATGACTTGGTTGTAAAGACGCGCAACCAAGAGACCTTACTCTCGGATCTAGCGGAAACTTTTGAGAGTCTCCGCTCCGCCCGCATGAAACTGAATCCCGATAAGTGCGTGTTCGGTGTACCTGCGGGCAAGCTTCTCGGGTTCTTGGTCTCTGCCCGAGGCATCGAGGCCAACCCCGAGAAGATACGAGCTATAGAGCGGATGCGCCCCCCAGCAAACTTAGGGATGTGCAATGCGTCACCGGTTGTATGGCCGCCCTAAGTCGATTCATATCGAGGCTGGGAGAGAAGGCGCTACCCTTATTTAAGCTCCTCAAGCGCTCCGGGCCGTTTACTTGGACGGAGGAAGCTGAACGTGCCCTCACTCAATTGAAGGCGTATCTCAGCTCTCCCCCAGTTCTGGTCGCCCCTGAGCCAAATGAGCCCTTGCTACTCTACTTAGCGGCGACACCGCAAGTAGTTAGTGCAGCATTGGTTGTGGAGCGCGATGAGGAAAATCCTCATTCCGCGCATCCCCACCCTGTGCTGGCTTGGCCCGGGAGAGAGCAGGGAGGAGAGGCCCCCGAGCCAAACGGTGGCCCAAGGCCCCCGACGACCGGAGCTGGTTCTCTGCCCGCTTGTCAGACGGTGCCAGGTGCCCCCGACCCCCAGGATGGCCCGGCGGCCACTGCGGGAAGGCCGCACCTATCATCCTCTGACCCCGAGGCTAACCCTGTGCTGACTCGACCCGGGAGAGAGCAGGGAGAAGAGGCCCCCGAGCCGAACGGTGGCTTAAGGCCCCTGACGATCGGAGTTGGCCTCTCGCCCGTTTGTCCGACGACGCCAGGAGCCCCCGACCCCTAGGACAGCCCCGAGGCCACTGTGGGAAGGCCGCCCCTGTCGTCCTCCGACCCCGAGGTCGTCGGCACAGAAGACAAGTGCGCCCCGCGAGGCCACTTGGACGAAGAACGCCCCTGGGATGCGGCCCCTGGCGAAGAGGATCGGCCCCACCGAAAGGTGCAGCGGCCCGTTTACTTCGTTAGTGAGGCCCTCCGGGACGCCAAGACCCGATACCCTCAGGCCCAGAAGATGCTTTACGCTATTCTGATGGCTTC